AAAAAAAAAAAAAAAAAAAAAAAAAAAAAAAAATATATATATATATATATATATATATATAAATGCTACATTTATCCAAGTTGCTAATACCCATTGGCTTCATTATTAAGGGACTGGTTTTGAATGGAAAACTTGAAGTCTCCAAGCTGATATTTTCTTGGGCTACCACTCCTAGTTAGACCCTTGTCACCTCAGGCTTAGATGGTTACATTAATCTCCTATAATCCTTCAGCTTCTCCCCCTTCTAACCTGCCCACATATTTTCCTAAACTGTTGTTTTTACAACCTTCAATGACTCTCCTTTATCATAGGATTAAATTCACCTCCCTCAGCCTGGCTTTTGAGGCACTCCAAACTTTGTGATTTTCACTCTGGCTGCTAACTCTGTGTCATACTACAAAACACCACGGGTTCACAGCATCGACAAACAGGATCCTAGAGAGTAACAGCATGAGCAAGTGCTGCTGCTACATAACCAGGCACGTATTTCTGCTCAGTGCCAAAAAAATTGCAGGTGAGGATATTTAAATGCCAAGTATGCCTTTCTCTGCTCTGGGGTGTAAGAGTTGAAATATACTTTTCAACAAAAATAGATAGGCCTAAATTATTCTAGATTTATTTGGGTCCCCAATATACCAAACCTAGAGCTAACATGCTATTTCATTCCTAATATGGTAAAGTAATTGATTAGTATTGGTTTGATTGGGTTGGTTTGTGTGATTTTTACTTTTATGTGTCCACTTGATTAAGAGATGCCCAGATAGCTGGTAAAACATTATTTCTGGGTGTTTCTGTGAGGGTGTTTCCAGAGGAGACTGGCATTTGAATCAGCAGACTGAGTGAAGTAGATCTGCCTTCACCAGTGTGGGTGGGTATCCTCCAATCCATTGAGCACCAGAATAGAACAAGCAGGAAGAAGAAGGGTGAATTTGTTCTCTCTTCTGGAGCTGGGACACTCATCTTCTCCTGCCCTTGGACACTGGAGCTCCCCTGGTTCTCAGGCCTTTGGACTCCAGGACTTACACCAGCGACCCAACATCCATCTCTCCCAACATGCCCCCATGACTGGGAGTTACACCATCAGTTTCCTCGGTTCCCAGGCCTTCAGACACTGACTGAATTACACCGCTGGCCTTCCTGGTTCTCCGGATTGCAGATGGTCTATCATGGGACTTCTCTGCCTTCACAATTGTGTGAGCCAATTCCCATAATAAATCCCCTCTTAGATACGTATATACAAGGGTACTTCAAAAGTTTGTTGAAAAATAGAACCAAAAGATAATGCAAATCTTTTCCATACATTTTTTTGAAGTACCCTAATACATCCTATTGGTTCTGTTTCTCTGGAGAATCCTGACTAGTAGTTTGCCTCTGTACTACTTATTAAAATAGGACGCTTAATATTTGTTAGGTATTTAGGTGGAATACCTGAAAACTTGCCTTAAAAGTAACTTTAAGTATTTGAGAAATATTATTCATTTATGCATAGCTAATATCCTATTCATAAAAACAACTACTCAAAAACATTACTCTATTTCCAGTTATTAATTTTTTATAATCAGGCTTTACACTAATTTAGATAACTCCTATACATTAGGCTAAGTTTATGGAGGTTTACCTGAAAACTGGTTCTAGGCAGTGACAGTCAAGCCTTTAGCCTCATCCTGTTCCAACATCACAGGGAGGCAGAAACTGAGGCTGTGGGGGGAGAAGAATGATAAGAGCTGAGCAGGTGGGAGGAGGCGACCGGAGAGTGGGCGGCGGGCTCTTACCTTGAGCAACTTCATCAGCCCTTCCAGTTGGACCATCAGTTCCCGCCGGCTCTCCTGCAGTGCCGACATCCTCTGCTCCAGTTCATCTTTCCTTTGCCTGTCCAAGAGGAAAAGCCCATCAGAAATGAAACTCTGAAGATAAAGGGACCCTCAAAGAAGGGTCTAAGGCCAAGTGGAAAAGATCCTAAAGCCAAGGTCAAAACAGGAGGGATGTTGCAGAAGGCAGCCTATGGCAGCTTGGCAGACTGTCAAGGTTTTCACCAAGGAACCGAAAGCTCATTTGGGCATCAGGACAAGGACAAAAAAGCAAAGCAGGTAGTGATGAGATGCTGAGCAAGTCATTTAATCTCTGATACTTCATGCATAAAATGGGGATAATATCTGTTTTGCCTACTTTTCTGTACTGATGTAAGAATAACATATAAAAGTACTTTGGAAATTACACATTGCCATATAGAGAAAAAGAATTATTAATATTATTAAAGTGGATGATTTTTAAAATTCTTCAGAAAGTTAAATGCTTCAATCAGAAAGATATATAAAACTAGTCCAAATTTAAATTAATAGTGGGGAAACTGTATGAAATTTAGGTTCAGTAGTTAGTACTTCTAGCACCAGACATCGGGTTTGAGAAGGGTGACAGAGATCAGGATGACTCCTTGTGTCTAGGAGAACACACTTTTCCCAGAGGACAGATTTCAGGTCATCTATTCTAGTCTGATATGTCCAAAACCAGACTGAAGACTTTTCTCCCCAAATAGTTGTCTTTCCCAATTTCTGCTACTTTTTTTCCCAGGTGTCATGGCGGAAAAACCCAGTCGTCTTTGACACTTTCCTCTTTACATCCTATATTCAATCAGTCACCCAATTCAGATGATTCTTTCTTGGAAAATTTATGTGCCTATCTTTCTATTCCCACTTCTCTCACTTTATCTAAGTGCTCCATACCTTACACATGCAACAGTCTCCTGGTCTGATTGATCTGATTTCATCTCTTATGGTGAGGAAAAAGCAGTGGAGCATAAATCAAGAGACTTGAGGTTTGGTGCTGACCGTACCATTTACTAAATATGCAATCTTGGACAAGTCACTTAACCTCAATTTTCTCTCATCTAAAATGAGACTAATAACAAAGAACAGCAGCAATATTCTGAGGATCAAATAAGATAATGGTTATGAGAGTGTTCTATAAACTTTAAAATGCTGATCAAAGCAAAGCTGTGTTCATTTTGTCATGCTATAATGATCGCAACAGAATTTCTAGCATCACTGACCCTTGCCCTGCACAATCTAGACCTGTGATGTCCAACATAGTAGCCATTAGCCAAGTGACTACTGAGCATTAGAAATGTGGCTAGTCTGAATTGAGATGCACTGTAAGTGTAATAAGTACTCTGGAATTCAAAGACTAAGTGTGAAAAAAAGAAAGCAAAATATCTCAGTAATTTTTTAGTATGCTGAAATGATAACATTTTGGAAATATTGGGTTAAGAAAAATATAGTATTAAAATTGATGGCATCCATTTCTTTTCAGTTTTTCAATGTGGCTGTTAGAAAAAAATTAATTACAGATGTGGCTCATTTTATATTTCTATCGGAGAGCACTGCTCTAGCTCCCACCTACATTCCTACCCTTGGCACCTCTCCGCCTCTCCTACTCCCTTCCGTGTCTGGACCTCTAGCTCATGATTCGCTTTTCTCTAAACAGACCCCATGACTTTATGACTCACAGCTATTCCCACCCACTCCTTAATGTCTGTCCCAAATATTACTCTTTCCAGTAAGCAGCTCCTGTTCACTTCAGCAGGGTTTGCTTAATTAATCTTATAGCAATTTGTGCTTCTCTGTGGCACTTAATTTATTTTCCTTGCTGTCATTCCTACCACAATGGAAAATCCTTGAGGTCAGGGGATGAGCCTTACTCATCTTTGCATATATTGAAGGATTAAGAAAACATCATGCATCCAATATGTGCTCAATTAATGTCTACTGAACTTAATGAAATCATTATTTGAAACCTTCCAAGAATTTCCAGTAACCTAATAATTAAGGCTGTCCAGAATCTGGTCTCAATTGCCTAACTAATTTTATCTCCTATCACTGGCATTGTAAAGATTAATTCAGTGAATGAATGAAAACAAATTCTTAGCTCCAACATTCTTTCTTTTCTCTGAAATGTGCCATCCTTGTTTTGGAAAATCATGCTGAACCCCAGCCCCAGTCCAATCTGAAATGTTTTGTCCTACATTCCATCCAAATCATGCCTACTTATCATGGTCTAGTTCAACTCCCATCACCTCTGCGGGTCTGACTGCTTCTGGACTCTCTCTCTATATATACATATATCCGTACTCATGTTCCTTAGAAGACGCCATCCATACTGTTTATTAACATTGTATAATATTATTTAACAGACTACCAAATTGTTTTATGTTTTGTTTCTAAAACTAGATCGTAAGTTTTAGGATGGACTCATTGTCTTCTAGTCTTTCATACTCTTTAAATTTCCAGTGCTGTTATGTACTCCACAAGGAGAATCTGACTCATTCAATGTCCTAGGAAGCCTTCCTTCCCTCAACTGAGCCTGCCAACTGTGCCAGGCATGACCAAACACAATTACAGTAAGAAGTGAAAATGAATGAATTACAGCTACATGCAACAACATAGAAGGATCCTACAGAGTCATACCAAGGAAGGGAAAAGTCCTGGAGGACTGCATACAATATTTCTATTAAGCTTAAAAAACGAAAAGCAAAACTAAACACTTTATTATGTAGGAATACAGATATAGGTGATAACACTGTTTAAAAAACAAGGGAATGATAAACCAAATTCTGGACAGAGATTCACTCTGTGGGGAAGGTGGAGGCAAGGAAGTGGGGTAATGCAGTGGGAGTTCTATAGATGGCGTAGTTTCAGCAATACATGAGTTCTTGAATACGATGTGGGTTCATGGGTACTCATTTTATAATTATGCTTCATATCTTACACATTTGTCACATACATTATTGTAACAAACATATGATTAAAAATAATAATTAAGGGGGAAAAGATAAGCCTGGTGGTCAAAATTCATAACCACTAATCCTATGGATGAAATTCTCTGTCTTGTTTTATAATAGCTGGGTATTGGCAATTCCTGGACCCGTACATATTGACCAAAACCAGAAGGATGTCAGAAACCTATAGATGAATCTGTAATTCCAAGAAATTATTTCCTATCCCAAAATCCTATAGAAATCCTCCTACATCGTCTTCTGGAAGTTTTTAAGTTTTGTCTTTATGTTTAATCCATCTGATGTTGGTTTTTGTATATAGTGTTAGGAAGAGAGTCAACAGGTTTTGCCCATGTGCATAAACAATCGTGGCAGTACACTTATTAAGTAGTTCCCCCTTTCTTCAGTGATAGAGACCCCTTTTTGAGATTAAGTACTTTCTGACTTCTCAAGCTTTAGACCTTCCATAGACCTAAATTCCTGCTTCCTGCTGCTTTTTGTGACATCCCTGGACTCAGCCCCATGACCAGTAAATCTGTGCCACTTTTCACATCTTTCCAGCTTAACTGAGCACTTTTAGCAATCCCAGTTCCAGCAACAGTTAGACCCAAAGATTTCGGTTTTCTACTTTTCTTGTCACTTGTGCCTGAGCTGAGGTAGAGAAAGAAAACTGGTGTATCTTATGCTGATGACCTAGAGTTATCCTTCATCCGAGTCAGCAGTGTTTGTTTCCCATCCTTCCTATACTAATGATGGCAACCAAAATTTCAGACCAACTAAGTTTAGAAACTAAAATGAAGTTTTAGGAGCATGCAAACTCTATACCTCTAATGATTTTCAATTACACAGTTTAAATTCTTTATGACTTACTTATTGATGATATAAATCTAAACAGTAAATACCTTTGAACATACAGTGATCTCCCTTCTCTAGGAAAAGAAATCATGGTTGAGAGGCTAAATGACTGCTGCTAAAGGAAGAGCAGTGCTCTTCCTTTTTTTAAAAAAAAAAAAAGGTATTCGGCTATGCAGATCCCAGATGATAGCACATTAAAAATCAACCTAAACAGAAAGAACTCACTATTTGGAAATCTAGAGATCTGGTGAGAATCAAGTCACTAAACATTTCCATAATGTCTTTACTTAGAGAAGAGCACACACACATCTTTCTAAGATGGATAGGAAATAAACCCTAATAACAAATCACATCATTGTCATGTTTTGCTCTTCTGGGAAGCCTTGTCCACTCCCTCCAAAGTAGCGTCAAACTGGTCACTGAAGTTGTTCTTTACTGCCATTCTGATTCTGTGTCCTTACTTTCTAGATCCTTGAGACAGTTGGTATTTATGTAGAAGTGGGAAGGTACCATAGCCATGGTGCAAGGAATTCCCACATGGTTTCAAGTCTTAGAGGATGTGTATAGGAAGTAACCTTCTCCTTCAGCAGAGTCCTGCTCTGACTGTGAAGTGCAAGGAGAACATATTCACAGGGCAAAGGGAACACATTATTTCTGCCAAGTCTCTAAGTCAGGCTAATGAGCAAGGTAAGAAGAGGGACTGCAGCACAATGTTCTTAAAGCTATCACAGAAGTCTAAACATTTGTCCTGGAGCTGGGAGACTGGTATTTACCTAATTCTGTAATGATGACTGAAGTTCTCAGAGTGAACATATGAAGCAGTATCAGAAACTAGCTGTTTGTTCTAACAGGGCTACTTATGTCGATAAACAGATTCTATCCCACTAGTTTGGTTTCCTGAGATATCAGTTCCTACCGCAGTAGGCTGTGGCTTGGGAACAGTGGTGCATAGCCCTCCTTACCTCAGCAGCCGCAGCTCTGCCAGCAGGGTGGGGTTCTGCTGGGCTTTCTCAGGAGTGGGCTGGGAAGCCTGCTCGTGTTCCAGACGGAGACGCTGAATCTCCTGCAGGATCTCCCTGGAGAGGACGGGTGAAAAGAAGGGGCTGCATGACAAGCTCTCTTTTTTCCTGCTAGAAATGTTTACTCCGGCAGAGCCTCCTCCACCAGTCTTACTCTGATTGCTTCTAAATGACCAAGATGTAAAATGGACACCTTCCTAATACTGCTTCACCTGACATTTCCTCAATGAAACAACCCTTTGTGGTAGAAAAAGTCCTAAAAATACTCAAGAACATGAAAAACTTCCATGAAGGAAAATGACAACCAGAATACTTTACTTACTCTGTTCCTCTCGAGGAAAAAGAAAACAGAACTCCCTGCATCCTCCCAGTTCCTACGCTGTCTTCCCCTAAGTCTTCCAGTCTCCCTTCCCTCCCCTCACCCCTGACCCCTGACCCCCTGACTGGTGGACGCTGCCATTTCCTCTACCTGTGCTTGCTACACTGCGTCCAGTCTCCTTGGCCTGGTTTCTACCTTTCAGTGCATAATGGTGTGCTGTCTGGTCTCCATGCCTTGAAGTAGCTTTTTTTATAAGAGACTAGACAGTCATACGTAGCATAACAGGCCTAGACAAGATGACTAGATACAGCAAAATGCTGCTGGAAAGTAGAGGGAGAAAGGAATTGTGAGAGGGGAACACACTGGTGGGTGGGAGGGGGTCCTGGGAAAAACAATTTATCTGAGGGAAGGTGAGCAGGGTTTTGAACTACCAGAACCAACAGCATGCAGATATATACAAATTAGTGTACAGGGCATTTACAGGACCTGGGCTAGCCTACGTTCATGAAAGTGGAATCTTCCTTTGTGGTCTAAAGCTATCTAGTCTGCAAGGAAAACGAGAATCAGATACCATGTGATAATCCTGGACCTCAGAAACAGGCCTGGCCTCTGCATTCTTACCTGTTTTTGTTTTCCAGCTCTGCAATAAGCTGTCTTTGTTGTTTGTTGGCATCAAAGTTAAAGCTCAAGTCAGTGGGAGGACGAGTCTAAAGTGGGGAGAAAGTTTTTTTTTCTGATTCAAATTAATTCAGAATCCTAGACTGTTAATTCTTTAAAAACATATTTTTGAGGTATAATCTACATACCAGAAGATTCACCCATTTTAAGTGTACGATTCAGTAACTCCTAGTAAATCTAAACAGTTGTGCAATAATCACCACGGTCTAAATTTAGAACATTTTCCCTCACCACGAAAAATTCCCTCATGCTGGTTTGTCATCAACTGCCACTACTACCCCCAACCTTAGGCAGCCACTAATCTACTTTCTGTCTACAGTTTTGCCTTTCCTAAAAACCTCATATAAACTGAACCATACAATATAAAGTCTTTGGTTTCTGGCTTCCACTTAGCATGATGGTTTTGAGGTTCATCCGTGTTGCTCCAAGAACCAGTAGCGCCTTCCTTTTTATTGCTGAGTAGTAATGTATTGTTTCCAGCTTTTGGCTTTTACAAAAGACACTGCTATGAACTTTCATTTATAAGTCTTGTGTTGATATGTTTTCATTTCTCTTGGGTAAATACCTAGGAGCAGAATTGCTGGGTCATATGGTAATTGCCTTTTGAGAAACTGCCAAACGGTTGTCCAAAGTGGCTGCAATATTTTACATTCCTACCAGGAAGGTATGAAGGTTCCATTTTTTCCACATCCTTGCCAATGCTTATATTGTCCACCTTTTTGATTGTAGTCATCCTAGTGGGTGAGAAGTGGTATCTCATAGTGGATTCAATTCGTTTTTCCCTAATGAGTAATATGTTTGAGCATACTTTGATATGCTTACTGGCTATTTGTATATCTTCTCTGGAGAAATCATGTGGTTGTGATTTGCATATTCATTGATGTTTTTGACTCTTGTTACTTCATTTAAAAATAAGGTAGCCAATTAACACAAAATAGGAAAAGAGATGACTAGGTAAAGTTTCCCTTTTATTGATTAATCAGAATGAAAGGTCTCAGTGAGGGCTCTGTGATGGCTACACTTCACTCTGCACATTCTTGGTTCTGCCTGAAACAAGATTTGCCATGAAGCAGAAACCTTGTTTCCTGGCTAGAGCTTGAAGATTCAATAAGTAATTCTCTTCATGTGGTATTTTCTAAATAAACAGAGGCAAAACAGCATAGCAAATCTAGGTGGGAGGATTTTTACCAAATTACTTTTTTTTTAAAAGCAAAAACGCGATAAATTTTCTTCTTCCAGAGAAGCGTGGACCAGCAGCCAGCTGAGTAAATTTTCTACATTGTATTAGAGTCTTGTGAGAGCCTGGGTTGAGTCTCAGGAAAAAGGCTTGCTTGAGACTAAACCTAACTATGAATAATAGGTTTGCAATTCCTGAAAATTGGAGTTGACAGTAATGGCTCCTTATTAGAGTGGGACCAGGAAAAATTATAGATGAGGAAGTGAGCACGGAAAGGAATTTGCTTCATGCAATGATAAGCAAACAAAAACCCTATGGTGTTTCACTGGAAATGTCTGAAGAATCTTCCCAGTTTTGAGTGTTTGACTATGGAGCTGAGGCGCCTTCCATAGAAGAGGTTAATACATAAATCAAAAATCATTATCAATAGAGATTCCTAACCAGGTAAGACTCTTTGGCTCCAAGAAGTGCTGTTACTTAAATACGAAGCAGGGGTGGAAACATTCCAATCCTGAGGCAGCAGTTCCACCGGGAGCAACTGATGTCTCAGCAGAGGCGTGCTCCTCCACCTGGACGCAACGACACGGAGAACTGCCAGGGGTGAGTGCCCAGCGATGGCTTACGTTGCTGAATGAAATTTTAAATATAGTCAAGTGTACATTAAATAACAGAGAAACTGGGCCGAGCCCGTGGCGCACTCGGGAGAGTGCGGCGCTGGGAGTACAGCGGCGCTCCCACCGCGGGTTCGGATCCTATATAGGGATGACCGGTGTGCTCACTGGCTGAGCGCGGTGCGGCCAGTCTCAAAAAGGACAAAAAAAATAAAAAAATAACAGAGAAACTTAGAATCTTATTTATTTACTGTCTTAAACACCATAGTGGCTCCTTAAAAAAAGCCAGGCCTCCCTTCCTAAAATGTCTCCAGGACACTGAAGGGAAAAAGAAAGGGAATTATTAGCTCATAAAGACATAGGATACTTTGGCCAGAAGAGACCTGAAGATGATTTCTTTCAAAAATCAAATGTACCTGGGCTGGCCCAGTGGCGCACTCGGTAGAGTGTGGCGCTTGGGAGCATGGCGGCGCTCCCGCCAAGGGTTCAGATCCCATATAGAGACCGGTCCACTCACTGGTTGAGCGTGGTGCGGGCGCAACACCAAGGGTTGCGATCCCATTGCCGGTCGCGGTACGGGCGCGACACTGAGGTTGCGATCCCGTTACCGGTCACGAAAAAAGACAAAAAGGAAAAAAAAAAATCAAATGTACCAGACAGAAGTAGATTAGAGGCTACCAGCAACAGGGGGAAGGGAGAATGAGAAGTTATTGCTTAATGGGTACAGACTTTATATTTAGGATGACAAAAAAGTTTAGAAATAGACAGAAGTAGTGGTCAAACAGCATAGTGAATGTAATTAATTCCATGTAATTTTATGTTTAAAAATGCTTAAAATGGAGATTCTTATGTTATATATGTTTTACCACAAAAAAAAAAAGAAAGAAAGAAATATAATGAAACAATACAGGAGAAATAGCAACTTTCCATAGTTTTCCCAAAGGGATTGAGAATTAAGAACTGATTAAATACATGCAGATCAAAGAGGCTCAAACCAGAGGGGAACCGAAGAGAATATGATCTGAGTGAGTCATTCTGAGATGGAGCTGCAGAGGGCCAGCAGCCCTCTCCTTGGGGTCACCAGGCCCAATTGCAAGTGCAGGCCCAGCCACTTACTGGCTGTTTGGGTTTGGTGAAGATGTTGGACATGTTTAAGCTTCAGTTTCTTCCTCTGTAAAACAGGAAGAACAGTAACAGTAAATATCTGCTGCTGCTGCAAAAAGTTAAATATATAGTTTGTGCATTCACTGATTCAACAAATACTTCCTGAGCTCCTACTATGTGCCAGGCACTGTTTGAGCAAGTACGGATGCACTGGTGAATAAGACACAGTCCCCACACCTCACGAAGCTTACAATTACACTGTGAGAAAGGTAAGAAATTAAAAAAATATAGACGTCAGTTGTGATAAGTGCAATGAAGAAATATAGGGTAATGAAATAGAGTGAACTGGGACATAAGACTGTTTAAATGAGATGGGTATGAAGGGGCTCTCAGAGACTCTGTGAGGTGAGGAAGCAAATGAGGTGAAGGTCTGAGGGACAGCGTGCTGGGAGAGAGACGGGCAAACACCGAGGCCCTGCAGCTGCTCTCCCATGCTGTGCTCAGGTCAGTGCTGATGGAGTGGTTGCGCTATGGCAGGTGGCAGGTAATGAACTGGGAGATGAGCTAGGGCCCAGATCACGTATGGCCTTTTGACTATGGAGAGAAGTTTTCATTTCATTCTGAATGTGTGTGAAGCCGCTATAGGATTCTGAGCAGGGGAATATGTAATCTGTATATTTTAAAAACATTTTTCTACATTTATATAAATAAATGACTGAATAATTTAATAAATGGGGAAGAACAGATGAATTTCTCATACAGAAGAATTCCAAATAATGTATGTTACATACTCCGCCTTCGAGGAGGTGGAGCCTAACTCCCCATTCCTTAAGTGGGTCTGTGCACAGTGACTTCCTTCCAAAGAATATACTGTGGAAAGGGGGGAATGGAGTAACTATGTTGGAGAAACCTGACAATGCTCCTTCAGCCAGGCGATCAAGGTCAACATCAACAGTGACAAGTCATGCTGATGGTATGTACTCTTGATACGATGGGATGAAAATGGCACTTTACCTCTTCTGCCCCAACCCATAACCCCAGTCTACTCAAGAGAAAAACATCAGACAAATCCTAATCAAGGGGCATTCTACAATATATCTAACTAGTACTCCTCAAAACTGCCAAGGTCATCAAAAACAAGAAAAGTCAGAGAAACTGTCACAGCTAAGAGGAGCTTAAGGAGACATGACGATTAAATGTAATGAGGTATCCTGGTTGGAACTATGGAAGAGACAAAACATTAGGTAAAAACTAAGGAAATCTGAATAAAGTATGGACTTTAGTTAACAATAAGTGTATCAACATTGGTTCATTAATTGCAACAAATGTACCATACTAATGTAAGATGTTAATAACAGGGGACACTGGGTCTGGAATATAGTAAACTCTCTGTACTATCTTTGAAATTTTTCTGTAAATCTAAAACTTTTCTAAAATCAAGTTTATTAAAAACAAACAAACAACACTGCTTTGGCTACTAAGTGGAGAATTCACTGTAGTGGGATAGGAATTGAAGTAGGGAAACTACTTAGGAATCTTAGATTTGCTGTTTACTGGCCACGTGACCTTGAATTATTTTATTTTACTACAACTTCATTTTCTTATGCGTAAAATGGGAATATTTATTGAAAGTGATGTGGAGAGGATTTAATGATATAACACGGAGGGCAGCACAATGCTCTACGAGGTTGATTATTATAACTCGAAATTTTATGTAATAAACCTATTATACACTTTCTATGTGCAAATCTAGCAAATAGCACAACCAAAACTATGAGTAACTGAAGGTAAACACTGTAATGCTTACTCATAAGGAGTTCTGGGGTTTAGGGAAATCCTGGAACCTTTGTAGTCAAGGCATTATGTTCACACCACTAAAACTCAAGGAAGCTCCCAGGCCCAATGCATGGTTCAAGGGTTGTAGCATCTGGAGCAGGAGAGGCCCAGAAAAAACCTACAGCTGAAGGCCTCTTCACTGACCTCTACTTAGTAAACACATAAGGAATACTGGAACGATCTCCAGTCTCTTTGGAAAACATAGTGACTCTTGCCTCTGGTTCATGGTTAGCAGTATCCCTCTAGTATCCCCCATTTACTTCTGTTCCTATCAGTTGAGATGCATGCTTAACAAGATTGG